AACATCTCTTTTATCTTCAAATAAATTTTCATTTACTAGTTCTTTATAAATTTTTCCATCAAAAATATCATTTAAATCATCATCATCTTTATCTGTAATATATTCATGACGATAATATAATTCTTTTGCTCTATTTGCATCGTTAAATTGTAATTTTAATCTGTCTTTTACTGAAAGATACGGCATAACCTTTTTTGCTTTGCCTCTAGTATTTAATCTAGTAGAATTACATATTGGACAAATTCTATAAGATTCATATTTTCCAGTATAACAGATACAAGAATTTTCACACATATCATAAAATACTGGAATTAATCCTGTTATTTCTTTTAAATATTTTTTAACTTTATATAAACTTATGTTATTTATGGTTAATATCTTCAATATATCATTATATGCAGATTCTGTGAAATTGTATAAGGATTTTAAATGTAAAAGTTTTAATCCTTCTATGATTTCTTTATTAGATATATCATCATTTTCATCATCATTTTCATCATTTTCATCATTTTCATCTTCATCTTCATCATCTTCATCATCTTCATCATCATCATCATTCTCATCATTCTCATCCTCCTCTTCCTCATCATCATCATAATCATCATAGTCTTCATTATCTACTTCAGCATCTAAATTATTATCAAAATAATCTTCTTCATTAAAATTAATTGTATCAGAATCTGTATTAGAATCTTTATCAACTATATCTAGTTGATTCTCTTGTAGATCTTCATTTTCTTCTTGATATATATCTTGTTGTATATCTTCCATAGTTTGCTCTTCTTGATATATATCTTGTTGTATATCTTCCATAGTTTGCTCATCATAAATTATATTTGTTTCTTCTACATCTAAAAATTCTTGTTGATTTTTTCGATGACGATAAAAAGTGCTAAAACTTACTATTACACCACTTATATTTTGATTTAAACAAACTAAACATTTGCATAAGATAGTGTTTCCTGACATTTTTAAAAAAGAAAAAGATGAATGTTATTTGATTCTAAAAGATATTAAAAAAAAAAAAATTTTATTTGTTAGAATAATCAAAAAATATGTTCTATATATAACAAAAAATTAGATTAATTAAATAAATTAAAATTAAATTAATAACTTAGTTTTAATATTTGTTAAACAGAAATTTTCTCCTGAAATTTAGTTTCACTAATATACATTCGACCGAAAATTTTAGTTTCGCCCGATAATTTAGTTAACCCGAAATCCCAATTTAGAATTTTTTGTAGATCTTTATTTTTTTGCTTCAAATTCTAATTAAAAGATTTTATAAATCAAATTTAAATAATTAGTTTTACCAATATAGTTTAATGAGTAAAAAAGAAAAAATTAAATATTTTTATTTATATATTTTCTAAAATTTCTATTTTTTATTTCAAATATTTTACATTACAAATATTTGATTGATTTATTAATTGATCGCTTGATCGATCAATTGATCAAATAATCGATAAATCAATTGATAACCATTTTATTATTAAAAAAACGTTTCTGAAGCCACGGAGGCGTTTTTTACTATGTTTTATTAGTAAAAAACGTTTTCGAAGCTGCGGAAGCATTTTTACTATATTTTCTTAGTAAAAAAACGTTTCCGAAGCCGTGGAGGCATTTTTACTATATTTTCTTAGTAAAAAAACATTTCCGAAGCCACGGAGTCATTTTTACTATGTTTTCTTAGTAAAAAATATTTCCGAAGCCACGGAGGCACTTTTTACTATATTTTCTTAGTAAAAAAGGCATTTTCAAAGCTGTGGAAGCACTTTTTACTATGGTTTTCTTAGTAAGAATCACTCCTGAAACTTTGAAGATGGCTTTACTATTGATTCGAATCAAATCAAATATTTGAATACTTGATTTGAATTTGATCAAATCAAATCAAATATAAATTTGAATTTGTATTTAATTTGATTTTCAAATCAAATATTCAAATATCAAATCGAATTGCGGAACCCTATAGATTTATATAAGGTTTAATTATATATATCAAGTAATCTACCATGAATAAATCTAAAATTAACTTTTTGATATAAATAAAGGCTTTATTAATGTATAGACTAAGTATTTCTTTTGTAATTCTTTTGCAACTAATTTAAAGTTTTACTTCAAGAAAATCAAGAAGTAGTAGAAACATCACAAGAGCAATAGACAATAGCTTTGGACTTGGTATGATGACTTTATATTTTATCTTATTTCTTATGATCTTATTTTCTAAAAAGAGTTTTTTATTTTTTAAATAATTTCTATCAATGATAATGTCAATACTTACACTTTTATTCTTATTTTTATTTCTTTATTAGATAATTTTATTAATCATCT